TTTTTTTTCAGGCGAGTGAGGCCAGGGATCGAGGCGGGAATGCATGCTGAATCTTAATGCCACAGAGGAGTGTCCCGGGGCGTCTAGGAGTCTGTGCATAATTTTGTTTAGATTTGTCATGCATTGTTTTGTAAACCGCTTACTTACTATTCATATTTGAACACCTTGTTTTGGATTTTAAACCTCCTTCATAATTGTTAAAGTTTCTTTTTGTGAAATCTCGTTTCTCTATTGGTTCTTACACGATTTCATTGCATAGTCTGTTGGTCCGGCTCTTAATTTCGAGATTCAAATTTTGGGCTGTGACAGTTTGGTATCAGAGCCTGGTTTTAAGGTCCTGTAGACATTAGGTTGTAGAGTCTTGTATCTCTGTGGCTTAAGTTTCGACACGCTCCGCCGCGACCTGGTAAGTTCTCTGATAACTGAGAAATAGGAAGACTTGAGTTATATGCTATTGGATCTAAGACGAGGATTAAAATATTAAGGATGTGCTTCTTTGAATTAGGCACAATGAGAACGCATTTTTGACTCACTCCCCTCTGTTGTCAGATAATGGCGCCTAAGAGAGGAGGAGATTACCTTGGGCCTGGTCCTAGGAGGGGCAGGAGAAGGGTCGAAGAAGACCCAAATCTTCATTTCCTCGAGATGGAGCAACACCCACCTCTAGAGGAGAACCCAGAACTGACCTCGGATGAGGAACAAACGCCGCCACCGGCGCCCGTGCCGAGGCGAGCTAGAAGGAAGGCCGAGCCTCGAGTTATTCTTGAGACTGCTCCTCAGGATCAGGAACCTGAAGAAGCTCCACCAGCGCCAGCACCGATTCCTGTGGTGCCTGCTCAGTCGACGACGACAGTTTCAAGGGATGAGTTTCAGGCTTTCATGAGAGCCACCATGGAGACTCAGGCACAGATGGCTCAGATAATGCAAACTCTAGCGACAAACCAGACCACTGTGCAGGGGACGAGTGATCCGGGCACGACTATAGAGTCCCGTTATTTGAAGGACTTTCAGAGGTATAAACCGCCAACTTCGACGGGGGTAAGATGGACCCAGTTGCAGCTGAGGTTTGGCTGGAGGCTGTAGAGACAGCTTTTATATACATGAATTGTCCTCCTGAATATCAAGTCCATTGTGGGACTTACATGCTGAAGGGCGAAGCCCATTTTTGGTGGAAAGGTGCACAGAGGGCCATTACACCAGAGGAAGGGTATATTTCTTGGAACCAGTTCAAGGAAGCTTATCTATGTAAATATTACCCAGTGGTTGCCCGACACAAGTGTCAGACAGCATTCCTAGAATTGAAACAGGGGGACAAAACTGTTGAGGATTATGATCTGGAGTTTAATAAACTGGCAAGGTTCTGCCCTGAGTATGTCAGTAACGAGAAGATGAAAATTGATCGTTTTATCGCTGGTCTTCGGATAGAGCTTCAGGGTCCAGTTTTGGTACAAACAACTTCAGATTATGCTGTAGCCTTGAGAGTGGCAACAGTGATGGATATGCCACGGCAGGTGGCAAAGCAAAATGTGCCAGTGGTGACCACTCAGAATGCCTTTGGCCAACGAAGAAGGCCTAACAGAAACTCTTTTAGATCTGACAGACAGCCGCGAGGACGTTTTGAACGTCGGGGTAGAGCCCCAGAGTATAACAGACCTGAATGCCCTAATTGTAAGAAATATCACGAGGGAGAGTGTTTTGCTGGAACAGGAGGATGCTTTGGTTGTGGCAAGCCAGGCCATCGCATAGCTGACTGCCCTCATAAGAGAAATCATGAGGGAAACAGACCTGTTGGACAGTATCAGAGGGGTCGTGGAGCCACACAGCAAGCTCGAGCTGTGGTCCACGCTATCACGACTAGGAAAGCAGAAGAGACTGACGCAGTGGTGACAGGTACACTACCTATCCTTGATCACCTAGCATTTACGTTATTTGATTCAGGTACTACCCACTCATTTATTTCTGAGGGGTTTGTGAAATCTGCAAACCTAGAACTAGAATCCCTAGAGATTCCTCTTACTGTGTCTACACCAGCAAATGAAGCAACTAAATGCTTGACTGCTACCCATAGGGTTAAGGGTGGTAGTGTGATAGTTGCAGGGCGAAAACTTGTAGCATCCTTGATTGTTTTGTGTATGCAAGACTTCGACGTGATCCTAGGGATGGATTGGTTGGGCGAGAATCGAGCCCTCATCGATTGCGAAGCAAGAAAGGTAACCTTTAGGCCCCTGATAGGAGAGAACTTTGAATTCAAAGGGGATATATCCAGAAGCACCCCTAGGGTCATCACAGCGTTGAAGGCTAGAAAAATGTTGAATCAGGGAGCCTGGGCAATTCTGGCTAGTGTGACAAAAGTCAATAAGACCAGTCTAAAGGTATCCTCTGTTCCTGTGGTTGGGGAATTTGAGGATGTATTTCCAGAAGAGCTCCCAGGGTTGCCCCCTAATCGAGAGGTAGATTTTGTTATTGACCTCGAACCAGGGACAACACCGATATCCAAAGTGCCATATAGAATGGCACCTGCAGAGCTTAAGGAGCTAAAGATACAGTTACAAGAACTTTTGGACTAGGGATTCATACGGCCTAGCGTCTCACCTTGGGGAGCCCCGGTGCTATTTGTTAAGAAGAAAGATGGAACTATGCGATTATGTATAGATTATAGAGAATTAAACAAAGTCACAATCAAGAATAAATATCCTCTCCCAAGGATAGATGACCTGTTTGACCAATTGCAGGGTGCAACGGTGTTCTCTAAGATCGATCTGCGATCAGGGTATCACCAGATGAGAATCCGAGAGGAAGACATACCTAAAACAGCTTTTAGAAGTCGCTATGGACATTATGAGTTCATAGTCATGTCTTTTGGATTAACCAACGCTCCTGCAGTGTTTATGGAGTTGATGAACCGAGTGTTTAAGGAATTCTTAGACACCTTCGTGATTGTGTTCATTGACGACNTCTCCAAACAATGAAATTAGGATAAAAGAAAAGGAAGATGTAATATATACCTTAACGAATTTAAGAGATTTTTGTTCAAATAAATCACTATTTTGGTTTTTTCTCAAATTGACATTTTTTGTTTTTGTTTCTTTTTGCAATAACTGTAATATTATAGGGTAAAGGGTTGGTTATTTAGATTTAAAGAGGTTTTATTGTATTTCTTTTTCTTTTTTTTAAGTTTTAGAGAATTGTCTTTATGATTGATTATAAGTTACAATTAGCTATGGCGTTTATGGTATTTATGGTCATAAAAGTTACAACCTTGTAATTAATCATTGGTTATGTAAGGTTTATAATGAAAGTTGCAATATTTTACTTCTTAACAAATGTGTTTGTTCCTTTACATTTATTATGTTTAGATTTGCATGCTAAAGTCATTCAAGTATTTGACCAACCTACCTTGTAACCAATTAAAAAAAAATCAAAAGAAAAAGAATTCAAGAAACCACACTAGTCCTTTCAAGGGTGTTTTTCCTTTACCTAAAATAAAAGTAGCACATAGGTTGAGTACTTTAAGAAATACTCAGTAACTAACTCACTATCGGGGTCCGGAGTGCTACCACATGCAACTCATTATTAGGGATCTAACGTTAAAACCATCGTATGGGTGGCCTCCAGTCTGGACAAAATTGGATGTGTAGTACTTCCCCACACACGACCCAGAATTGCAAGCATGAATCTCCAGGCGTTTCGCACTCTCTTGAATCCATCATAGTCAAGCTAGTTGTCCGTAGTCAAATGTCGGAGGTCAGCAAACTCCCGAGTGTCATGTGAAGCATGATGATGATCATCATCATAGTGTACGCGTTCGTACTCATCCTCATAAATGGGGAAGTAACCCGATGTATATAAACACACCAAAGACATGAGGTTCCTGTAGCTTTCATCTTTAAATCATCCTTAGGACAGAACCATATACATTATTCACACATCGCATTGGGCAACCTGCAGGAGTTTTCTTTCATACTTTCCTTGTCATGAACATCAATTATGATTGTTTCATAGAAAACTCGTTGTCATAATGTATGATGTCATTTAATATATGCACATCATCTTACTATGGAATAACATCATATTAATTCATGTCATCATCATGCATCTTATATTGTCGTGTTATTATGCATCATCTTCGTCATGCATCATCATATAATGTCATCATATAACAATATCGTGTAACATCATTCTTATAACATAGTCTCATCATCATACAACAATCACATCATCATATAATATAAAGTATAAATGACACGTGCAAGGTCCACTGGGCACGTGTCGTCATTCATAAGGAAAGTCTTCTAACTGAGCCGATAGTAAGGTCACTTACTTGGTTGGCCTTAGCCGGCGTTTTTTCTAAACTCGAGTACGTTTGAATTTCTCCCCCAAAGTTGCTACAAGTATCGTCATAAATTGTTTCCTATTAGAACGTCCATCTCTTTTCATTAACAATTCATATTTTCATATTTTCAATGAACGTCCTTCTCCTACTAGATTTCCAGACATTCCTTTGGTCGATAGGAAATTTTGGCTTACCCTTTACCGATCTCTAAGCTACCGTGTAGGGCTCAAAGTTCTAATTGATTCCTCATTAATTATCTACATTTGTTGTACCTAGTGCCTCTTCGAGACTTTTTCCTAAATAAATAAGAGTCGCTTTGGTCGAGTGGTTAAGCCATGTGCCTGCTAAGTACATGGGGTTTCCCTGCGAGAGTTTGAATCTCTAAGGCGAGGAAATATTCCTTTTTTTGTACTAACCAAAGACTATCGCTAAAAGAAATTGTCCACTTTAAAAAGACATACATCACTCGTGTCACAAATTTCAAGTGATTTACAAACGAAAAAAGGGCATGGGATACAAAAGAATTCCAAATCCACCCAAAAAGTTATATAACTAATTGATGTCCTAGATCGAATAAAACTAATAGATACTCCGAGTCGAGACCTCTCTATGATAGTAGAGCTCCCGAGCATCTCCCCACCTTGATTAGTACCTGAAATAGAAAAGGAGAAAGGGGTAAGTATAAAAATAACTTAATAACCAACCTACTTGTAGGCCTTCATCGCTTACTTCTTCTACTAGGTTTCCTTGTTTTCCTTTGGTCTATAGGAAGTTTGGGCTTAACCTTTACTACGCTCTAAGCTACCGTGTAGGTCTTGAAGTTCTAATTGATACCACATCAATCATCTAGGGTCTCTTGTCTCTTCGACATGTGGTTTCCCCGCGAGAGTTTGAATCTCTTAGGCGTCGAACTGTAACGCCCGAAAAAAAAAAAAAAAAAAAAAAAAAAAAAAAAAAAAAAAAAAAAAAAAAAAAAAAAAAAAA